TTAATTTTATTAATATTTTTAAAATTAAAAATCTGTCTAAAATGATGGACTAGACAATAAAACAATTTACACATAGGTTGTCAATTTCGTTTCATTGGAAATATTTTTTCTCATCAGCAACTAATCCAAGTAGATGCGAGATGTTTTTTTAAAACCTTTTTTTTTAGGTATAATTGACAGATTAGTAAAAAAAAAATCGACAACCAACGCATATACGTGTGTCTCCGTGACGAAGTCTTAGGAACGAACGATTACACAAATACTCGTATAATATTGTAGATACGCACATTGAAAGTTAAGCTCAATGCGAGGGTTCAACACTCGACCTTCACCAACTGCCAAAACTCAATAGAGAAATAGAGAATCAACGAGGTCGATGAAGTAGATGATGGAAACCTGCTCAGCAGATTTTCTCACACCATATAATATCACCTCGAAAAAAGTTCCACACCTGGGCCTGTGTTGCATCGGCTCACTTTTCCGTTCGGACTATGGTACCGCGAACGGGACCCTCGACCACGACGGCCCTCAACCTCGTAGGCGCAGGGGTCAATTGGGTGTCCTCGTCGCAGCTGCTCGAACTGCGCGACATGCGGCTCTGCTGGTCAAACGAGAGCCTGGCGTTCCCGCTGCTACAGCCCGCGACCACCGCTGATGCGGATTCGACCGCGTCGCCCGACGTCCCTCTGTCCGGGCCACCGTTCACCAGGTACTTGAGCTGCACGCCCTCCGAGTCTCGCCGGTTTTTCCTACCATCAGATGCAGCCGACATCGATCAGATAATCGTCACCGTAAGGAGGATTGTTTAACACATACTTTTTCATAAAAGCATGGTAAAAGTACAAAGTGTTGCGGAGCACGTTTTTTTTTTTTTTTCTTTATTAAAAGAATTTAAAGTTAAAAAGGTGAAAAAAAAAAGAAATATTTATTCGTTCGGCTCGTAAAATTTGTACAAAAATACAAAAACTTCAAAAAGACTAAGTACACATTATAAATCGTTAAAATTCTTGCATTGATTTTTTTTAATTTTTATAAACGAGACCATAGCTGAATTATAATGAACTGTTCCAAAAATATTTCCAACAGAATTCATTTTAATATCATAAAAGAATGAATGGTTATGGATTTAAATTAAATGAGATTTTTCCGATGTACACGCGCAGGTAATTGAACGTACATATGTACTCACCTGGAGGGTAGAGTAGGGCAGGACCAGAGTTTAAAGTCGGCGCCAAAGAGCTCGCCCTCCTCTATCGTCTGGGGCAGATGGATGTTGAGGGTCTCGGGCAGGAAGATCGAGGTGACGGCCCCGGCGACGCTCAGCGAGCCCATCACGATGAGGGGCAGTACTCGCCAGTATACCGCCAAGTGGACGATGTAGGGAAACGAGAGAAGACCAATACCGGCTATGAAGGAGGCTATGCCCATCGCCTGCGACCTCAGCACCGTGGGCAGCAACTCCCCCACGAAGACGTAGAACACGGCGAACGAGGCGGCTATGCCGAACTTGCCGACCATGGCCAGTGACACCGTCACCCACACTGCGTCTATTGCATGGTTTTTTTTTTCTTTTTTCAATTTTTATATTGCGACATGGTTGAATGAATCGATGCTTTCAACAAATCATTGATTGTACCTTCGGGAACGAACATGCAAGAGACACAGGCTACCCCACCGAGGAGCATCGTCATGCAGAGGACCCATCGCCTGCCCAGTCTATCCATGGCGTACCACGTGACTATGTACGATGGGATTTCGACAACTCCTCCTGTGCGAGAGTAAAAACAAGTTTTTCGAAATAAAAAACGTTAGAACAAAGAAATCTTTAATCTTTCCTATATACATATAATTTCAATGAATGAATGTTCAAGTAATGGCTCGGGGCTACTGAACAATCTATAATATGCTTGTTAATCTGATAAACAATCCCGCTTTGTATACCTACTAGAAAATATTTATTTTCAAACAAGCATTTGTTTGATTAATCGTTCTCATGGCACTCGGCAATTTATACAGAACCGCATTCTATTTTAGAGACGCGTATTAGCATGAAAAATATAGCTTCTTCGCGCACAGGTAGATAGGTACGATTAAGCTTGGAAATATGTATATAATCGGTCCATCAACCGCATTAATAAAATCTGCTGTTTGGTATTCAATGTTGTTCAGCCGCTTATCTGTGCATCCCAATCTGATGGATGGTAATCCTTGGCCAAAAGTGACAGTAACAGTTATAGGAACAAAGTAGGTATCCTTTTTTCATTAAGATGTCGTATTATCTACGTGATCGGTAACGCGCTTAGTTGTCTATGAAATTTTACGTAATTCGTACAGCAGCGAGGACGTACCGATGAAAAAGGCGAGGTAATCGGAGACGCCGAGATTGGTCGTGTTGTAAGACAGCCCGTTGTAAACGACCGCGTTGGCCACCCAGTCGAACGCCAGGATGAAGAATTTCTTGCGTATGTTGGGATTGGTGAGGAGGTCCATGGGCGTCGCCGAGATCGACTGCTGGAGCCTGGAGTCCGCCTCGAGATCGGCGCCCTCGGCTGCGCTCGCCTGACCGTTGCACGGCAGTCCTTGTCTTCGTAGCACGTCCATCTGACGGAATCGACGTTGAATTGATTAATTTTAGGGGTACGAGGGATGCTAGTTGCGTTTTTGCTTGTACTAATGCCACCTCCATCGTTCGGAGAAAATTCGGGGGCACGACTTTGCCGTTGACCCTAGCCATCGTCTGGATGATGACTTCGGCCTCGTCTATCCTGTTTTTGCTCAGCAGCCACCTCGGGGACTCTGGGATGATCCAGTAGTAACTGAACAGAAGGACAAATGGCACGGAGATGGCCAGCGACAACGAGTACCAGTGCCTCAGTAGGTAACTCTAAATTTCAAATTATCGTTGACGCATGATTTTCATATATATATATTTCCCGTGTGACGTTTTTTTGTGTACTTACTAAAAGTGCTAGCAACGACATGGCTGTGGCAAAAAAAATGCATATCACCATACCGGCGAAGGTTCTGTACCTCGGACCCATTAGTTCAAGGGCTGAAGAAAAAAAAAAAAAAAAAAAAAAAAAAAAAATATCAATCACACTTGAGGTGAGATTATTTTGTATTGATTGCATTATGATTGAAAGTACCTACCAAGGATAAAAGGTATCTGATAAATGGCAGGAAAAAATAAACCGTTTACAGTTCTGAGAGCGGTGTAAACGNCGCAATGTATTATTTTTGCCAAATAATGTATTCTGTCAGGTACCACATTACAACTTGTGATGAAAAAAAAAAAAAAAAAAAAAAAAAAAAAAAAAATATCAATCACACTTGAGGTGAGATTATTTTGTATTGATTGCATTATGATTGAAAGTACCTACCAAGGATAAAAGGTATCTGATAAATGGCAGGAAAAAATAAACCGTTTACAGTTCTGAGAGCGGTGTAAACGATGTAGTTGGGACTGAAGCTCGTGGCTATCGAGAATATAACCTCGAAGAAGATGATGGCCAGAAAAGCCGTCCTTCGGCCCCATTTGTCGGCTATCCAGCCGAAAACCACGTTCCCGAAGAGACTGCCCACGAAAAAGAAGGTCGTCGAGGTCGAAGGCCACCAGCTGTTGTCGCATACGAGATCTAGCTATGGAAATGCAAAAATGCAATTACAATGTCGGCGTATTTTAATTTTCCTTTTTTTTTTTTTCTTTTTTTCTTTTTTTAATAAAATTTAACAGTAAGAAAAATCGGTTATCGCCCATTGCTTGGACACGATTGAGAAAAAAAATTGAATCATCGAAGCATCGAGTTAGAGCGACATAAATCACCAGCACATTTATTGCATAGGTACGCGTGAATAAAACACATCCGGCTTGAGATTTATACATAAGCTAGGGGCTTATATGCGTGTGTGTATGCGCTATATAAAACTCAGTGTCGACAATGTGTTACCGATCTCATTGATTTGCAAATTTTTCAATTTGTCCGACTGTATGATTCAATTACGCGTGTCATAGGCAACTTTGTCGGCGCGGTTATTGACTTTCGATCGAGATCGGTGTCGATCGAATCGTCAATTATTGGGTGACACAATTTTTTTTTCCCCCAAAACTAAAAGTGTGGCGGATACGCGTGTCGAGCCTCACGACAGGTAATTAGTAGCGATCATTATTTTCAAAAATGTCTTTCAAAAAATGTAAACCGTTATTCCGTAAAAAACAATGTAAGAAGATAGCACAACACGATTTGAAAAATAAAAATTTGTTACAATGAATGTGCATAGGCGCAATGTATTATTTTTGCCAAATAATGTATTCTGTCAGGTACCACATTACAACTTGTGATGAAAAAAAAAAAAAATATGTTCAGCACTATATTGTAAGAAAAAAAAAAAAAAAAAAAAAATTGTACCATCAAAAATTTGAAAAAGAATCCATTAAAGGGTGAAAAAGTAGTGGTAAATAACAAATAGACAAATCGACCTGACATACGAGCAAAGCGAAAAGTGACTAAGCGCTCTCGTAATACGCGCGCCGCGAACGAAGTTGATTGATTCGCAGAACAGCGATCTCTATAGTCTCTGAGCTTAATGGTCCACGATAAAACGTATATTCATGATACCGATAAACCACACACACACAGGGATATCAGATTAATTCGCAAAGCTGCAATCTCGTCTTTTTATGCATAGTTAATGGCTCTGTAAAGCTATATTGTATATCCTTGAATTGTGGGACGGAATCAAAACAAATTCATCGGCTTCCTGTTTCAAAGGGTTTCACAGTTAACAATGAGAATCTCCCACACTTATGTTATGGTATATACATGTAGACAACAACCAAAACGAATGAAGGTGAGCTCGTCACTCTGTTGTAGAGATTGGTGTGACCATGGTTATTAGATACCAAAGATTTCTCCGAGCAAAGCTGTGCCGACAATGACAATCCATTAGCTCGTACGGTCCGTATAATCATGTGCAACGTTTCGAAAGCCCCTGTCAATATATATACTCCTGTCAAATCCCCTGCAGCCACTGTGCACATCTCACGTGTCCAATAAGCGAATTTCCGTGAGCTCGTGTCCATAAGTGTCATTGCGTCGTCAGATTTCGCGTCGCAAAATTTTCATCATAGGAGGCTCGTCTTCTCTCGAACGTATATATGCGAGTAGTTCCGTGAAAAAAATCTGTCGCGCGATTATTTCTTGATTGATTAGTCATTGCGTGTCTTTGGACAAAATTTAAAATCAATCGTGAATTATACTTATACGTCTCTGAGATTGTTACAACCGATTTTATTATTTTTTTCCGTTGTAACTTTTACTACTACAGGTGTTAATTTAAAATAGAAAAATTTTTCAATTCTCTCATCAAGTAATATTACGATAAAATTGAGGCCAGAGTTTCAAAAACGTAGAAAAAAATTTTTTCTTCTAGAACCACGAGCACGACTTTTTGTGGAACTGATCATATGCACCCGAAGGATAATACGTGTAAATTGGTGTAATGGAGAGCGAGAGGAGCTGATGATGATGATGGTGATGATGATGATGATGATACTCGCGCGTCACCAGCAAATATAGGTATAAACACGTGTAACGCCAACCAACGAGAGTAGTGTCATGGATCGCGCGGTGAGCCACGTGTGTTAGATATCGTGAGCGTTACCATTTGTGCTGCAGGAGAGTGTGAGAGCGTCGACCAAGCGAAGAGTAAACGCTCGCTCTTTACGTATACTTTTATTGGCCTCTCGATTATTGCGATTAGTAATGTAAATACCGATTTTAATTCTTAAATGCACGAAACCGGAGTACAAAGTAATACGACAGTCGTGCCAAATGTCGTCCAATGCCAAAACTACCATCAATCTCATTTCATTGCTAACTTTTAGTAATTGAAGGACTGTTGTACAAATTATGTAGTTTTAACAAAATCGTTATTTTTTTTTTTTTTTTTTTTTTTCAAAGATTCGTGAGTTGCATGATGAAGCTTTTTTATTTCTCAGTTCATTGACTTTGAGAGATCGTGTAATACATTTTATGAGGCGATGTTTGATTTTGATGGCATGAATAAAATTTTATCATGCTGCGAAAATTAAAATTGTGTTAAAATAATTTTGCCCTCGCAACATTGCACGCGTGGTACATTTGGTACATTATCAACTCGGCAAATGATTAAATAATGTAGAAATAAGTTAAGTTCTTATGCAAATATGTAAGATGATTGTAGATGATCTCTGATAAAATATTCGAATAACTTTTTTTTTTCTTTTTTTTTTAAAAAAATATTAAATGGAGGGCTAGTGTTAGTTGAACTTAAGTGATTTACAATACGGACAGATGTTTCATTTGTAAAAAAAATTTAATGTTAATGGACCCATAAAAAAGTTATGTAAAAAATAGACTTATCTGGTATTTCTTAATACAATTTCAAAAGTTATACGACCATTATGTGGGTGTGCGATTACAATAATAAAAAAGAGCTATCACAACTATCGAAATAATCAATCACAACATTAAAAAAAATAATAGTTTTGATTAGAAAAAAATTTTAAATATTTGCTTCTTCATCGCTAGTTTATATGAAAATGCTTTCGTCATCAAAGTTAAAATCATAAAAATTTTATTCTGGTAGTCTTCAATTTTGAAAACATTTTCCTTTCAGCTTTGACATGGATGTAAAAAAAACATATATACAAAGGAAACCCCGTACTGCTCTTCCCACTTGAAATCACGCATAACTTTGAAGTGCGAACGAATCACCGAATAGATTTGAATGAGCAATAGCCCGCGCGGCGCAAATTTATTGTGCAAATAAGAAAGCGCGTATTCAGCCGGACAACGAAATTGAATTGAAAGCTTTCACAATTTTGCACGAGGAAACTACTAATAGAGTTGTATGTGATAAAAAAAAAAAAAAAAATATGTCAATTACAAGAAGTTCAAAAAGTAATAAAAAAAAACTGTGCATTTGTAATGATGATAAAAAAAAAAAAAAAAAAAAAAAAAAAAAAAAAAAACAGTATTACAAATATATGCCACGACGAGGACAAAAGCTCTTGAGGTTTATAATGTCTGGAATGTCAAACAGTACAGTGTGTATAAGCGAGGGGACCGAAAAATTGAAACAAACGTTAAGGCTAACAATAACAGCTGACAAAAGGAGAAGGCGAAGAAAAGAAAACGAAGAACGAAGTCGGTGTGGAGGATGGATGTGGGCCAAGCACAGGAACAATGATAGAGACGGGAAGATTATAGGCATAAGTAAGTACACGTGTACTTTGGCGCGATGTTTACAAAAGCGGATACGTGTAAACGCTTCATATATGGATCGTAAGGGCAGAGATGCCGGTGTTGCTTTCAAAGTAGAATTTGCACGAATTTCTCCGAGTCTACAAATCTCCTCCAATAGTATACGTATTTTTTTACTCTTGATTATAATTAATTAGTAATCAGAAAAAAAATAATGATCATGATAATAATGATGATGACGATGATGATGATGATGGTGTACAGAAAAAACAAAAAAGCGTCCCGGTCATCTTTAAGGGTCAAAAGACAATAGAGCTCCCTCTTCTGTAAATTAAAAAAAAAAGAAAACAAAAAAAATTTTTAAAAAAAGGAATGAGAAAATAATTAAAAGATGGAGGACGAAAAAAGAAAATGAGAAAAATGTCCAAACACTTGTTGGATATTCGATGTATATGAGCAAGCTCGCTATTTACTAGATGACATTGCCGGCTTCTCTGATTGAACGAGTTTTTTTTGTTGCAGGCTAAATATTGTGGAACGTGAATTATACAAGCAAAAAAATTATCAACTCCAACGAATGCTGTTTGGTTAATGTTGGGTTTTCAGTTTTACTCATCAACGAGATTTGACAGAATCGCAAGTACCGTTCGCGTGTATGAATATATAAATACGTTTATAATCGATCACGCCAAGTTCTTGTTTTCCCAGTCGAATAAAAAGTCATGAAGATGACTATTTAAATTTTCTTAAAAAAAAATGAAAAGTTACTCAGAGCTACAACAATCCTAAAGCTCCAGCTCGAAAAAATGCACGTATACCTGAAATCCATCAAATTCCCAAAGTCCATCGAAACATGACCTTTGAGGGTAGAGCCAAGCAAATATTCGCACGTAGTATGAACGAGCAAACACAATGGAGAGAAAGAGAGAGAGAGAGAGAGAGATGCCGAGCGGAGATATAATATATACGCACTTGGAGCGTGTGGCTTTGAACCATTGCTTCCGACGGCCGATGATTGATTAAATCGCTCCTCTCCTCCTCTTCCGTTTTTCCCTCTCTCTCTCTCTCTCCCTTATTGTGTACACTTTGGCGAGTCTCACTACGACTAATTTGTCGCGACTCCTTCAGCCGCCACTGATTGCCAAGGATGTCGCGCATTTGCCATTTCGCGATAATTGATCGGCTGTGGCTTGTACGCCCAACTCTTTGTACGTGGGTAATCATCATTTGTTAATAGTCCCATAAGACTTTGACAGTTGTACTGATCGACGTCGCGTATAGGAAACCCGGCAAAAGTTATACTTGATATTTCATTGCAAGGAGATCTACAATCACTTTCTTCCAAAATACAATTACATAAAACGTGAAATCGTAAGAGGATAAAAATTTCATTATAAAAAAAAAACAAGTGTCATGCACATTGTACTGGTAAAATATTTATAGTTTACTGTTTTGTAATTTTTTTTTTTTACATCAAAAATGCGTTAAAAGCTAGTATTACTGATTAGTTCAACTATTACAAGTTAAATTTGTTTCCATAAAACTATTTTCAGTAAATTAATTGAACTAACAACTTTAGGCTTGATTGATTGATTTTTCAAAAGTTAGGATTACCAATAACTGTTCTATAAAAAAAAATATCATTGAAATTACACGGTTTTTTTCAAGTCTTCAGTGCCATATACACCATAGAAGAAATTTAAGCGGAAATGCAAAAGTTCTAAAGTAGGCCAAAGTTCATTCGTACTTACGAGACTATCACCACCGTAATAATTAAGTAACTATACAAAATCACCAAATTTATCAAGTCAATTAAAATTTTGGCTTCACTTTAACCCTTCATTCAAAAAGAGAGCATAATAAAAAAAAAAACACTACGAATCATTTCTGCAACGTGCAAAAGGAAGCCGTTTCGTGCACCGTCTTATTGCCCCTTGGATAAATCCGACTTGAAAAACTCAAGTGAACCATCGTAAGATTAACGACGATCGTCATCGCGAAAAAGGAAAGAAGGGGAAAAAAAAAAATCAACAAAAGGTGGGCCCGATAACGAGCTCCGAGCTTTCGGCTGAAAAAAGCTTTTTCATTGGCAATAGAAAGGGGGGGGGGTGGGGAAGGGGTGTCAGAGGCCGATTTCCGAGTGCGTCTTTTGGCATCCGCTTCCGCGTCCCCTTGAAGACTATACTGCAGAGGATCGGTGCGCGTCGGGGCGATTGAAGCCATAGCCGATGTTGGGGCAAATCCGGAGCTCACGCGCAACACATATAAATATTACACCGTAGCCTACATGAACCACATATATGTATACACCATCGTGATCTATCGCACTCCAGAGCGCAGTACAAGTATACATAGGTACGTGCAGCAGTAACGTATAGAGGTGGCCGGCCGACATACGTGATCTCTGATGTATATGTATACCTTATACTGTTGTCTACTATACGTATATACATATATGGTATACAGAGATGCGGATAGGTATGCGTAAACGTATGTATGTATCTCTAGCACGACCGGATGCGGGGGTAGGTAAATTGGCCGGCAATTGCGCTAACGCCACGAGAGCCTCCAAAGCCGACGACCATACTATCGGGCGCTCGATTGCTCTATACCCATCCATATCTACACGTAGCTCCATCTCCCTCGTCGATAATCGTTATACATTATGGTATGTACTCGTGTATCAAAGACATACCGAAAGAAAGAAGAAGAAGAAGAAAAACAAAAAAAAATTCCATAGGTCTTCCCCAAATGAAATCAAAGCTTATACAACACGAATCGGACCGCGTCCCTATACGGTGCATCGGAGTTGTTGTCGGCTCATACAAATGATAAATCTCGGGGCTTCCCCGATTGTTGTTTTCGGCTAAGAACACGACGCCCGTCACTTCTTTCCATTGTAATTCCCTCACCCTCCTCTTTATCTCTGTAACTTTACGTTTCGGAACAGTTTATATAGAGAGCATAGCGATCCCTGCGATTGCTTTATTTACGGCCACGATGCAGTGACGTGTATTTCGGGGTGCACACGCATACCTATATAATTACGCATGAACCCATAAGTATATGTATATTTATGTCACCCGATTGCATAAATAACACACCACGCGCGTCATCAATTGATTTAACGGATAATGGTATAATTAAGTAATAACGGCCACGACGACTATGATGATTCGACCGCGCCGAGATTGCCACTGGGTACATGATTATGGGACGTGTGTGTAAATCTCCTAGTGTCCCTTATGACGCGATGCGCGCCCGTGTACAGTTTCCACTCCGGAGAGCGTGTATGTAATATACAGGCATCATAGGTATCGCAAGCCTCTCTCTCTCTCTCTCTTTCGGGTCGTCACTTCCTCCTGCATTGACGTCTACGGAAGTTGGGAAGTTGGTGAGCGCGCGCGCGAAACTTCCTCCAGATATACATATTGTTTCGTCACGCCGATGCGACCGACAGAGGATGTCACCTTTTTTTTTTTTTTTTTTTTCGGGCACCTCCATGGGATGGGAAGGCTACACGTCTCGGCAAATTTTCTGAAAAGACGCGAAAAGTTGGAGACGCGGTCAATGTTGATGTTCCTCCTTTCCTGGTAGATTACAGCTATACCCGAGTTTAAGAGTAGCGCAATCTCCAAGTGTGTCTCTCTCTTGGCTTTGGATGCCGATTCATTGGCAAAGGGTCGAGCAATACTCCCGACGTATATAAATACGAACTCGCATGGCCCGTACCATTTTTTTTTTTTTTTTTTTTTCCTGCTTCTTGTAACCAAATAAGAAAAACGTGACACAAAGCAGTGCACATGATCCAGAGTCCGAGATGCAAAGAGGAAAAATAAACGTGCCAAGGCCCTGTGATGATACGCTGTGAAGGATAACAGTGAAAAATCGCGCGCAGAAATTGTTGTTGCCATTGTCGTCCGGTGCTCTCAGTGTACGTATATGCATATACGAAGTGTGCACCAGCCAGTCGCCGAGGAAAAGAAAGAGAACCAGATCCAGAGGCCAAGGTTGGAGAAGAACGTACGAAATGAAACCCGATGCTGCGCGCACAATGCGACGCTTTGCGCGTGTACATGCACGTATAGGCTCCACGTAGATGGACGAAGCGATTGCTCTTTGAAAAAAAAAAAACTTACAGCGCTTTTAATACTCTGGAAAATCGCGTTGAAAATCTCGCTACACGTATACATAGGGTACGTGTGTATCGTATTATAAGACGAGCGCGTGGATTATAATTGGCGATTACTCCCGAGCCAGAGATGCAGATGCTCGCGGATGATTTATGACGCTGATCTTTGTTGGAGCTCGTGTGGGATATGTTGTTGTTTTTTTTTTTGCTTCGAGGTGGTTTTTCTCGAGGGCAAAACGGTAAAGGATACAACAACTCACGGAGAAAAGCGTTGATTAAAAAAATCCCCACTAACGATCGAATGCTCCCATCGATCGAGAATCTCGAAAAAAAAAAAAAAAAAAAAAAAATCAATTTGCCTCGCACCCGATGGGCAATAAATATCTTTTCGCGCAAACTTGTTAAAAGCGATTTATCGCGACGGGTGGCGTTTACTTTTCCCCCCTTCCTTTCTCCTTTACTTTTTTAACATCCAAGTGTGTTCGTACATATGTATATATTATGCACACGTAAGTCTTTGCCAGGATGGTTTTATCAGCGAGCTTGCGGCCGTACGTGCGTTTAATGAAGTGTCTCGTTGTAGAGCGCATAGATTGATTTTCACGCTTCAGCTTGGGGCCTTCGGGTGGTCTTTGTTTCGTACGAAGGTGCGGGTTTTTGTTGGAAATTTACGGCTCTATTGGCCATTGAACGACAACCCGAACAGACTTTTACCATCGCAAAGGTCGTATGAGGCGTGTTGTGGGTATTTCATAATGAAAGATTGAAAAAAAAAAAACAATTCTCCTCCAAGGAGATTTTGCACAGAGTTACCGAGGAAAGTCTTTGAAAGTCGAAGTAATGTGTTTTTCGGTATCCAAAGACACGGAAGAACTTTTTGGAATTGTTCGGGGTATTATAGGGATTTGTTGTAAAATTTCGCAAGGGCTATCAAAGAAATAAAAATCATGAAAAAAGGGGAGAGAAAAAAAGTACACAAGATTCCCGAAAAGAAAGAAAAGCTGCTCTTGTCGAGTTTACCTCGGTGACGAGAGTGCTGTCGTAGTCCCTGTTGTCGTAGTCCCACCCGTGTTTGCACTTGGCCGTCGGCCAGCCAGGATCACTGACCGGCGGTGGTGGCGGTGGCAACCTCCTCGGGAACCTCAGCAAAGTCGTCGGGTTGATGGTGGATCCGCGACTCGAGTCGTCGAGCGGCAGGTCCTTGCGCGGCCCACCACCACCACCACCACCTCCGGTATCGGCAATATCGGCGAGATCGAGGCCTCCAACAGCCGTGCCGTTCTCGTAAGCCGAATTCAGCCACGTCTCGATGATGGCCGTGTAGTTGACATCGTACATTTGACACTTGGAGTACTCGCGCCGGCCGTCGGACTTGGTGCGGTAGGGCAGCGACAGAGCCTTGCGATCCTCGAGGCTCAGGATCCCGGTCAGGTTGTCCAGCTCCGGTATCCGGCACCAGTGCTCCGGTGACGCGCTCACAAACACCTGTCGGGGACATTTCATTTTATTTTTTTTATTTTTATTTTTTTCTTCATTCTCGATCGATCGGGCGTCGGTCTGCCCTAAATCTCGTATTACTACTGAATTTTCGATCGAGCCCGGGGGAACGCCGTATGCGGTGCAGCTATAAGTGTGCGCTTAATCGAGAAAACTCGAAAGACCGAGGAAAGCTTCAAGTTGCGAGCGCGGAGCAAAGTTTTCCAGGGTAATCCATTGCGTTGTCTTATCGAGAGGCGAAGGAAGATGCGCCTCTCACTTGGAAATAAACTTTTACAATCGAGACTCTTCGAGCTGCGCGTATACACAATATACTTACTCGGGTAATGTACGCGCGCGTAAACTGCGTTGCGTGTGCATATACTTATTGAACTCGAACGATGTTGCCGAAGCGCCGGGGTATAGCGTGAGAGCATAACGGAAAAGAGATTAGGCAAGTAATCGCTTTTCTTTGCGCGTCGGGAACGTCGATTGTGTCGATCGAACAGTTGTTGGGTTAAACAGCTGGACCTTAACGGATGAAGGATGTTGTTATAATGCACATTTTAATGTACAATTTTAACTGGTTTGGCTTACATGTAAAGGGTTCTGTGTCGTTAAATCGGTTAAAAATCGGTACTAGAGCTGTATTCATCACTTTGGTTTCTCAATGTTGGCAGGTTGGTAAAATCGGTAGTGGTAAAATGGCAAACAGCACCAAGCTGGATTTAATTAGGGGAAACGATCTTACCGATCTAAAAAGTGGTAGTCAAGTGATCGGTATCACTTTTCTATCTTACCCAACTGGATTTTTTTATTAACTTGAGCATCATACTCAATAAAGGACAAAAAAATAAAAGAAACAACTCACCTGAGAAAAGGCGAGAAAGGCAGCCGGTAGTGTAGCAGGTATGCAGAGCAGGTAATACATGATGTTCTGGTAACGGCCCTTCTCGCCGACGTGCAGCAGCACCTCGTCAAAGTCGATCGCGCTCATATTTTCGGCGCGCCCTTTCACTCGACGACCGATGCGGTTTTGCAACGTCCGTTAAAAATCCCCGGCATCGCCTCGCACTTTTGCACCTTTATCTTCTTCTTCTTCTTCTTTATTGTTACTGTTTTCAATGCATTACTTTTAATCACACAAAATACACGATAGGTCCCTCTTGCAGCCGAGCTTGCGGAGCACTGTCGCACCTGTTCCGCGCTTCTCTATTTTTTCCTTCTCCTCCTCCTCCTCCTCCTCCTCCCCTTCGAGGCTCTCACACTCGCGCGCACGCGTTTCGAATCCCAACTTATAAATTCCTTTCATGCGGCTCCCTCCAGCTCTCCTTATCACTGCAAATATTTTCGCGCCAAGGTCGATCCAGCGAGCACGCGTAAACGCAAACACGCGCGCATCTCCTCCTCCACCTCCTCTCCTCTCACGGTCCACCTGCACGGTTTATTTGATTCTCGAGTGGTGCTCGGCTTCGGCTCGCACCCCGTCATAATACACCAGCTTGGCATCCGCCCCACCGCTTCTGGGGCTCGACCGTCTCTTTCTACCTGCGAGAACACGGCATTTTATTGGATTTACAAAAGCCCGTATTCCATGCCCCCCCCCCCCATTGTCCCTGGGGATTTCGTTTTGTTATTATCATCCTAGGCTTTTCATGCCCGGGTTTCATTGGAAACGCGACTCTTTTGCTCTCGCTGATCAAATTAATTGCATTGAGCCCGCTACGCCCGTGTTTTGTACTTGGCCAGTGATTAATTATGAAAATCGCGCTTTAAACCTCTCTCTTTCTCTCCGGCAAACAGAAGCTCTTCTTGTCTGTCGGTGAACGTCGTTCGATAGCGAGCGAAAGAACTTTTCGTGTCGCGATAACAAGATTTCAAAAGTGTGCCGGCTCTTTGCGAAGAAAATCGTGCAGGATACATTTATCTCGGTGTCGTAAATAACCGAGCAATATACTATCCACGTATGTAAACAGAGGCCGTGTACGTATATTGCGTGTGTATTTATACGTACCAATAATCATCTCCTCCCAGCAGACAAGCGCCCGGGGCACCTTCGGGACCATTAACCTCGGCCCCTCCCGCCCCTGGCCAATGAGCCGCGTCGTCCGAGTGTTCTCAGCTTCTTCTTCTTCCGGCCCCTCGTTTCTGCAATAGAAAGAAGAGAAAAAAAAAAAAAAAAAAAACCCAATGGCTGATGCTCCTCTTGCCCTTCGAATTGTCTCGTGTATGGTACGCCGGACCGTCGCTATTGCGAGGCAGACTCGATGGGGGATCGGTAAGTATACAACCAGACCTCAGCGCTTTTGTCAGAGTGGCACTGGTCGACTTACGTCTATGTATATGTAACAGCTACAATATGAGTGTGTGTGTGTGTGTGTACGTATTGTTTTGTTTACACGAGAAAAGCATTAATAGGTACAACACCACGAGCAAGTGCGGGTAGCTTTTTTAAATGGGACTTTTTTTTTTTTGTTTTTTGGTAATGTTCTTTCGGTAGGAACGAATGGCAAAGCTTGTTGGCTCGTCGAGTTACGTGTTAAAGCTGTAATTTTAAGCGTGTTGGAAAAAAAAAAAAAAATGATTAAAGCTGTTTACTACAGAATGCGGTGTATAATAAGTATTTTAAAAATAACTATTATTATATTGCAGGTTGGCAGATCGGTAGCGTCGAAGAATGAGCCAATGGGGCCAAATTAGGCAGTAGATCGTTTGAAGAGTTGCCCTCGATAATTTCGTGCTTGATAAACTTTTTGGTTTTTTTTTTTTTTTTTTTTTTTTTTTTTTTTTTTTTTTT